TCCATTTTCTCCTCTGCCCTTCACTTCTCTTACACGATCTCTCTCTTCTGAAATTTGTTTCTGCCCTTCACTTCTCTCACACACGATCGCTCTCCTCTGAACAACAACAACAATCAATGGCAAAGGCTGAAGTCCGTTGGATCTCCAACGGTGTCCAGGGAATTGGAAAAGCATCACAATGCCAAATCAACTCCCTCACCGGACCGATTGAAGAAACCTCCTGTGGCAATGGAGCTTCGATCTCCTGTGCCGGAGAATCACACCTCACCGGCGTCAGCCCGCACTCTTCTCCGACTGCCCCCCAACTCTTCTCAGTTGCTTACTCGAACCAACTCTTCTCAGTTGCTTACTCGAATAATCAAAGTAACATTATCTTAGCCAAGATGGAAATAGTTAGCTTTAGCCTTGATTTCCTATGCACAATATAGAAAAGAAAAACAACAAATGAGTTCGGTAGTACTATATTGTTTTCGTTTGCCTTTAGGGAAATGCTAAGATTCAAAGCACAAAAGGGAGAGTGTGTGAGAGAAGCAAGGGCGAAAGGAGCAATATTCGGTAGGCTACAAACACGTAATGGCTCGTTCCTTGCTTTAGAGCAAATATAGTAATGATGGAAAGTCCCAGACCTAGCCAGTCCAGCCTAGGCCAGGCCAGTCCAAGCCTAGCCTAGTTGGCCCGTGAACCGTGACATACTGATCCATATACCTAAGTATTGAGACCCAGCGCAACTTGTTTGTGTAGTGGGTTGGGCTATGCCTTGAACAATAAGTCATACTGCCGAGCCCGACATTATATCAAGAAAGGTTTAGGTCGGCCCGCAGACCTAGACCCATAATTGCATCTCTATATTAAGATTATGAAAACTATACTATTTGTGGTGGAACTATAAAAACATTACCCCATAGATGGCTGCTAAAAGTTTTACATTTAACCGTACATTGTATTATTTCCTCATTCAACCGTACTGTATGTGCCGGCCATATCCTCTGGAGAAGCTTACATGGTGGATTGTGGAATAATTATTCAATGTCTTACTCAAATAAGCTAAGTAACATTATCTTAGCCAAGATAGAAAATAGTTAGCTTTAGCCTTGATTTCCTGTGTAAAATTCAAATAAAAAATAAATGAGTTCACTAGAATTGTAAGTTTGAGCCAGGCTAAATAGGTTGGCTCAAAATCCGTCACTGTTGGCCTGGTCCCAACCTGATCCAGCCCGCTTAAGTGTTCAGGCCTATACTTTAAGTGAAAAAGTCTTTTTGGGCTTGGTTCCGTCAGACCAAGTCGAATTACTTAATTTATTTGTTTTTTAAAAGTCCCCGTGCGGCCCTGATCGGTCGGGCTTAAAGGCCGGGTTGAGCCGACTTTTCCTTTTAAGGGCCGACTTGGCCAAACTTGAAGTTTGCATTAGGGCCACCAGGCCAGAAATCAAAATGGATTTTTAATATAGCTCTTGAGTACAACAATAAAAACATCCTAAGCTAATTTTTTAGTTTTCTTACTTGCAAAGTGAAAAAACATAACCAACAAAAACAAGATACTGTGATTGCTAAAGCGCCCTTAATGAGATTTTCTGGGCTTTCAATGGTTCCCTATCAAAACTGTAGATGCTTACCTCTTGTCTGTGGCAGATTTAGCACAGGTCCTTTAATTAGTGTCATCATCATTGTTCCCCAACTGTACCTACAGTCCCTAACACCTTTTCCAAGCTATGCAGTTTCCTAATATTAAGCACCTCAAGCCTGATAACTTTCCAAATAGCTATGCAGTCTCTTAATAGAATGATTGTATATATAATCTAATATAACATAAATTATATTGTAACAATGAGAGGTAATTATGGAAAAGAAAATGAAAATAGCTTGAGTTCCCTCATGTGAGTAAAAAATAATGATTCACTCATTTAATGAAAAAATCGTTCCATTTTAAATGACTAATCCTTTTACTAAGACCAACCAAACATAAGAATGGAGTCCATTCATATTTATTTCCATTCCATTCACCCCCAATGGCAAAAGAAAAGAGTGTAAAGAGAGTAAAAGATAGAACGTATCCAAAAAAAGGGCAAAAGGAGCAATGATAGCAGAAGCAATGGCTCATTCCTTGCTTTAGAGCAAACATAATAATGGTGAAAGTCCTGCATAACTACATTGAATGAACATCACAGCACATAATAACCTTGCATGGTGAAACATGTTACTTGTTGAGGCTAGCCGTAGGAATTGTTTTGATTTATCAAATCTGGAATGTATCAAATATAAATGAAGCTTGAGTTTTGCTCAATTATATTCATAGTTCCAATTTATTGTGTTAAACATTAAATTAAACTGATTTAGGGTAAAATATAAATAATAGAAAAATCCAAAAAATATGAGAATTTAACGTGGTTCAGAAAATGATAAAAAATTCTACTATAAGTCTATAACTAAAAAAGATTACAAAAACATGTTAAATATCTCTCACCATTTAAATCTTAAATACACCCAAATTTTTTCAACCCAAAAGAAAGAACAACAAATATCAAAGAGAGAATTCGTTGAACAAATCTCACTTAAAAGAAACAAAAGAGAAAAAACTGTATATTAATAGAAAAACACTCAAATATGCTGCTCTATACCTTGCTTCACGTTCATTTAGCATATTTATATATGCTTTCCAAGACAAAGTCGCAGACCTAAGTTAGGTCAAAGAGAGACATGGGCTTTAGGCCCAAACAAATAAAACAAGTAATAATTACACCACATGCCATTGAGTTGATATTTAACGAAATTTTTTTTAATATTATAAATATAGTAAAATTGACTTTTTAATTATCATAATGATATCATATTTTGTACTATATAAAAATAATAAAAAAATTTTGTTATTCTCTTAATATTCAAAATTTTTGCTAAATTTAAACCTTGATATCAAAATCTTGCTATATGTGTAAATCACTTATAAGCTTTAATTGAAGCCACTCTCAACACAATTCAAGCCATTACTCAATTCTGTTAGATTTTTCTTAAAATTCTAAGATTCAGATTATGTGAACGAAAAAACCATTCCCCAAAATAGAAGCTGCCCACTTCTGCAAAATTCTAAAAGTGTTAATTAAAGACCCTTACACATGCATCTGCAAACCGTAGATTAGCAATAAGAGACTAGTTATTTATTATTACTATTATTACTATTATTACTATTACTATTATTACTATTATTATTATTACTATTATTATTATTATTATGATTATTATTATGATTATTATTATGATTATGATTATTATTATGATTATGATTATTATTATTATTATTATTATTACTATTATTATTACTATTACTATTACTATTACTATTATTATTATTATTATTATTATTATTACTATTATTATTATTATTACTATTATTACTATTATTAATATTATTATTATTACTATTATTATTATTATTACTATTATTACTATTATTAATATTATTATTATTATTATTATTATTATTATTATTATTATTACTATTATTATTATTATTCCTGTTGTTGTAGTTGTTGTTATCATTGTTATTAATATTATTTGGCTAAGTTAAAACCATATTAGGAAGTTAATATCGGGGTTTCTTGGAACAATTATTATGCCAGTCTAATAATAATCCAGTTAATCAATCAAACGTAAAGATGTAAAAGCAATATTTCCAATGAAATTTTACTTCAATTTTGATGAATTTTATTTGTGGCTGTTCATTATAAGCATAGACATGACTCTTATGAACTTATGTTGAGAAGTTTATCTTACTTGTAAATCAGAGTAGGATCTTACTATTCTAACTAGGATTTCAGATCTCCCGTAAACAGCTAAGCAACTTTTAGTTACACCAAACAAAAGTAGATTATCATTGTAAAAGAAAATCAGAGTAGTGTGCTTAGAAGCAACAATATTAATACTAGATATTAACGTTCTGATCGTCACTGATTCATTTCTAGTTTAGCCTTTGTTCACTTAAAAAAAATGGGAAAGAAAAAATGTACGAATTTGAGAATTTTGTATAAAGAATTTTTTTGCATGCATTTGACGACATCTTTTTTTTTCCGTAAAAAAAAAAAGACGTGTAATGTACAGAAGTACAAATTGCATGAGTGAAGACTTTCAAATTTCAAGTGTCATTGACTTGTATAATGGTGTCAATGATTTTTGGTTAATTGTGAACTTGTATAGTAAACCTCAATTTTTACACTCGTTTGATGATACATTTTGTGTATAATTATAAAACGTGTAATGTACAAAAGTATTCCACGAGTCAAGACTTTCAAAGCAATGTGAGCCTATTGACCATGGTTGATAGCTAGGAAGACAATTGCCTTCAGAACTTCTGTGGCCTCAAGAGAAAATTCCTAGTATTGATATTGGGTATATTATAGGTTGCATATTTTGTATTGAAATTTGTGAACTTTAAATGTTGAAGGTGTATAAATTACGATAGATTTACGGATTTTAAAGGGATATAGTAACTTGTACATTTGAACAATATACTTAGAAATTTTTAATGCGGAAGTAATAACACTTATAATAGTTTGTGAATCGGCCGATAGGATGGCGCGAAGGCACCATAGAAGAACCGTGCGAGTCAAGTAAAGGGCTAGATTAAGATTTAACTACAACTTCTACTATTGAATTAATGGAAACCCATGTCACAACTCAGAAGGCAATTATGATATTGCACCATTGTTCAACTTCCGTTTATTGTATGATAAAAATGTACTCACATAACTTTGGGATATCATTGAAGTTCCGATGAAGACTCCAATAAGTTTTTCTTTGCTTCTTAAATGGAGAATTGAACTAACATATGAAATGGTATATTTAAGTCTTATGTTATCCCAGGATTCTTATGCCCTCCATTCCTCTTATTGTTTAAAATATATTCTTCACATGTGTGTTTTCCTATCTACAGTGAAAGACCATCTAAAGGCAACCAAAGAATAAACACTGCTTTACTGGACATAGGAAAAACTAGAGTATTAGTCAAGTAGTTAAATCATGTTATGTTTGGTTCCTTCAAACTGATTCGTCTCCTGATCTTCCTTAATGGTCACAACAAGCTCTCGATTCGGATTCTTAGTAGTCTCATTCTTTTCGGTCATGTTTTCATCAGTTGATGGTTCTGAAACTTTCTCACTTGATTCAGATTGACGCTCGTCTTTGCTCTTACCCCACAAAACCAAGTATAGGCCAACTATAATGATAATTGCCCCAATAATCCTGCATAACAGTTTGTTTTCCTCAAGTTAGTCCTTATTGATTGTTTGCAATTTCAGCTAAGCAAATGAAGTCCAATTGTGCACAAAATGGTCACACAAAAAATACCTTCCCAAGTACATTATCTCTGACAAAAGGAAGGAGCCCAATATTACAACAATAACTAGGCCTACAGGGTTAAAAGCAGCCACAAAAACCGGTCCCTTTTCCTTCATGACTAGTCCCTGAATGTAGTAAGCAAATCCTGACCGAAATATTCCCTGCCAAATTCCATCAACAACATTAAAAGAAAGGAACTGCGAAAAGAAAGAGGAAAAAATTATAAGAATTACTGACACTGTAGAGAGCAGCTAATATCATAGAACCCGAGCAAATGGACCAGGCTGCAGGGTTGCCCCATTCTAAAGCTAGAGCCACGACCGAGCCTTGGACCGCACCCATCAAACACATCCAAGCAGTTAGGGAGAGCTCAGCAGGGTATGATTTCAGTGTAATTGCCTGTAAAAGAAGCAAATATATATGTATCAATAGCTTTAAATAGTTAGGGCATAAGAAGGACAGGGAAAAAACTCATTTCTCTTACTTGAAGTATGATGAAACTAGACCAGCATAAACATCCTGCTGTGATCATAAGAGCGCCTTTGGCGGAGACTTGATTGTTCTTGGCGATCATAGACTCGGGATGATGTGTGCTTTGGTTAGTCCATGGCAAATTCAAAATTGGTCCGTTATACAGAGTCATAGACATGGCCCCCCCAACTGTCACTACGGTTCCTATTAACTTTGCTTGGCTTGGAAGTTTTCTAATGTTAACCTTCTCAAGCCTGCAAAACCGGAATAGAAAGAGTTATTTCAGATTTGTTGAAGTTAACAAGCTTGATTCTGTAATCCATGCTCTTGTTGTATAAAAATTGACCTGAAAATCCATGCCATGATCAACGCAAATGCAGGAAGAACATTGCACATGGCAGTCGCGAAAGTCGCTGTTGTGAACTTCATTCCAGTGTAGTACAAGTTCTGGTCCATTACAGGCCTGGAAGAATAGATAAAACCAGATTAATTAGCATTACTTTTTTTATGCAAAAATTAACATTACTTCAATGATAGTGATAATATATTGTTAGGGATTTGAGTTGTAAGGATCTTAACTCCAGTAAGGCTAGCAACATAATCTTGGCAAAGATAGAGAAGGTCATCTTGGGCCTTGTTTTCCTGTTACAATATTTGAGCTGCTTGACATTGGTCTTATTCTTTTCTTTCACCTTGCAAAAATCTAATTTTTTCTTTTTTTTTTTTTTTTAAAAAAAAAAAAGTCATACCTCTCCAACACAATGGCAAAAGGAGCAGTAAAAAAAAAAAAAAAAGTCATACCTCTCCAACACAATGGCAAAAGGAGCAGTAACCGCTGCGGCGATAGCGTGGCGGTACACGACCAAAACGTGTTGACTCATCCCCTGGTTTAGAGCGAACTTGGAAATGATGGACATTCCTGCGTAGCCAACTTGCTGCAGGATGAGAAACAGAAAAGGCTTTGCTTGTTTGAGCATTTGAGCCAAGGACTGTTTCGACATTTTATTTTATTTGTTTCACTTTCTTTAACTCTCTAGCTGTCCTGCTCTATTACACAAGGACAATGTACAAGTGAAGTTTCATGCATTTATATAGTGATCTACACTTAAATTCTTTCTTTAATTCTTTTATTCTCTTTATATTAAGCAAATTCAAAGAGGATTTAAACTTCTCTCTTTGGAAGTGTAGGAGGATTAAACTTCTCTCTTTGGAAGTGTAGGAACTCCACTATCTGAAAGCTGAAAACAACATTCTGAAAACGTAATCCATATTCACCTAAAATCATCCCACAAAAGTGGTTTCATGCGTACAATATTCAGGATTTTGTACTGTTGATTGCTAAGAAGGAAACACATATGGGACCGAGTGAAATATGTGGACCAAATGGTATTGTTGGTGGGGTTTGGTTAACGTGGTTAAATCAAATAGTAATAGTGAATAACAAGAATATTTATTTTATTTATTTACTTTTTTTAGATTAAAAGATGCTAAGAGTGCAATTTCTTAAGCGTTGAGAATATTCCTATTTGGGTAGACATACTTGTCATCAACCAACTAGGCTCTGACGCTTATTTCATTTAGTGACTCTTACAAAGAAAGCACTACTAGCATATAAGGTGGGGAGGGAGTGAACATTGTCTAGATTGATTCCTAATTTCCTAGTCCCCTCCAATTAGCTTCAGATGACAACTGCAAAAAAAAAAAAAAAAAAAAAAAAAAAAAAAAAAAAAAAAAAACTATCCAATAAAATGAAAGTTAATTATTCAATATGATATTGTGGGGTGTGGACTAACTTGTTACATGGCACATAATCACTATAAATGTATTTTAATTTTTAAGAGGAATTTCCACGGTGGAAGGGGGGATGAAACAAGACAAAATATTCAACATGATAAACACAATTTTGCCACGGTCAAAAATAAAAAGTATAACATAATATTTACTTAACGAAATACTTATATTGAAAAAGAGTAACGATATTACGAGATAACTAAATTTTTTAATATTACTCCCTTTTTAACATTTCTCGTGTTTAATAGAATAGACTGAAAGTGAGAAATTCATATAACTGACTCTAATTAATTTAGAATTAAGACTTATATTTATTGTTGTTATGACTCCCTTTTCAACATTAGTATTATGTTTTACTTTTTATTTTTATATATTATGAAACGATCATAAGAATACCTATAATATATATATATATATATCCTTTATTTCTGCATGGCAGCACATCATGGACAAAATCTGAAATGACAAAACAATAGTTTGCTCTTGTTGATTCTTGTCCTCGCTATTTTCTCATTTCTTTGACAATTCTACTTGTAGGCAGTAATTTGTGATGGGAAATTTTTTAAACTCTTTTTTTTAAATATTTAGGGCTCGTTTAGTTCGCTGATTCGAGTTGAGATGTGACCTTATATTAAAGCTTTTTACTGCAGTAAAAAAATTAGATGTGATTTTAGAGCTTTTCACTGTAGCAAAACTTGAATTCTAAATTCGAATCGGTGAAATAAATGGGGCCTGAAAAAGTGAGACTAATTTTGAAATTCTAAAATTTTGACACATTACCATTCAAGCTAAACTTTTGAATCATTTTTCATAATGTGTATCATTACTTTCATATATTTGATAGTTGTTTCTGAATATATACAAAAGTTAGGTAATAATACTAGTGGAAAAACGTTGCAATCCTCATAAATTGAGCACAATTCCGTGAATGAAAGAGAAATCCCCGTCATGCTGACGAAATCATTAGAAGAATCAGATGAATTATGTGGCCTTTATTTGGGGAGTGACAATGTTCCAATTTCTCATTGGGCATAAATTAGTGTATTATAAGCTCGACAGGGGTCAATTTTAATGCTTAAAAATTAAAATGCCCTCCATCTCATACTTCATAATTGATGAAACGTACGTTACACGGAATCATTATCTGCAATGTCCCCCTTGCTAAAGGAAGCACACTTATTGGAAGTAAACTCAATTTTTTAATTAGCAATAGTAACCACCATTATTGTTCCTTGGGAAACCCAAAAAAAAAAAAACACCATTAACATGGCTTTTCTATACCTGTGGTTAACAAACTAGAGTGATTTCCACAGGTATATATAGAAAAGCCATGTTAATGGTTTTTTTTTTTTTTTTTTTTTTTTTTTTTTTTTGAAAAAAAAAAAAAAAAACAAACTAGAAACTCAACCTTTCTTAATTTACCATTTCAAACTTTGTAGGCTGCAATTGATGGGTGTGAACTCAAGATCTCCTACTCTTGACATTATGTTAGTTTACCTTTCTCAAAAGCTTAAATTTTTCTCAAACTAATTAATTGAATGTTAATTAATACGTAGTCGATGGAACACGGCTTGAAATAAAAACGACTCTTCTGCTCAGAAAAGAAAAAAAAATGAAAACAAAACGTTTCAAATGTTGCTATTAATTCTTGCTCCCATTGGACCATTTGTATCTGTATGCATTATGATCCCAATCCATAGATCTCTCAGTTTGAGAAATGAAAGTAAGAAGTTAGAAGGTGGGTCAAATTGACTTTATATCCTAACAACCTCAGGTAGCCAAGATTAACAAGTTCCTTTTATATGTCAATTCAAAGGCGTCAAATTGCCCTCAAATATTGCCCATTCTCAGGTGTTTTCCCTTCTTGGGTGGTCATTAATTCGGTTGAAATATTCCAAAATGCTTAAGCAATAATACGTGTTGTTGACTTGTCTTAGTGCTTGGTGGTTCCGTGATACTTTGTTCTTGTCAATGCGTTTATTACTTTAACTTAGATTTCAACATGACCTTTTATTTTATTTTATTTTTTTATTTTTTTTTTTTTACAGGTTTTGTTGATTTTGGTTATGCTTTGTCCTTTTCCTTCTTTACAATTGCTTCCTCCAAGTTTGGAGGGCATTTCATTCAAAGGATTATGTGAATCGAGATAACTCAACTAGTCTCTTAATTCTGGCTTGGCAAGCTTGATGAGGTTATATATAGATGGATCAAAATACAGAAAGAAAATAGAAAGGACAAAAGAAGAAGCTGAGAAAATTCACAAATAAGAGCAGAACATCATCACAAGCATGAGCTAAACATATTTTAGCTCTCCAAAAAACATATACATATACTTATACAAGCTTTTGGATTGAAAGAAGTTGTTTAATGTCACGTACGGGACAAAAGGAAGAAGAAATTAAAGTTCATAATAATTTCAAACGGATTCATTTCCAGTTCTTCCTCGAGCACCATCAACGGCCACAATCTCTTGACTTGAAATCTTTTTATTCTCACTCAGAACAGTCGAGTAGTGTTCATTCTTTGTTTCCAACACTTGGTCGCTTGATTCAGATATAAGATGGTCCTTGCTCTTGCCCGACAGAACCATGTATAAGCCTACTACAATGAGAACTGCTCCAATAACCCTACAAAAAGTTCAGTTTCCTCGTGTTAGTCTTTGATAATTTATGTAATTCTAAAGTTTTTTTGTTCTTCTTCCTTATGTACATTTTTTTTTTCTATGAGAAATGCGCTAATTAAGTTCAAATTTGTCCCCGAAGTCCCTTTAAGATTATCATAAGTTGTAACTTTAATACTTCTGTTATTGAGAGATTAATTTTTTAAGGGTCTCAATCACATGTGCTCGTCGGGTGACCCACACGTGATTAAAACTATTAAAAAAAATACCCTTTACCAATCAGTCACATAATCCGTAAGTGACTGAAACGGTTAAAGAATTTCACGCCTCAATGACAAAATATCAAAGTTATAACTTATAATAATTTCAAGGGGGAAGTTTTGCTTCATTTTGAGCTGTAGAGGGCAAAGTGTTACAACCTCTACTTTGCAGGGGCAAATATAAAATCAATACATGAGAAAATGAAGCCTTATTTCAAAAGATTGCATGGAGTGGAAAGAGATTGATGCATACATGCCCAAATACATCATATCTGACAAAATAAAGGAGCCCAATATTGCAACAATAACCAGGTTTAGGGGAAGAAAAGAAGTGACAAAAACAGGTCCCCTTTCCTTTACGACCATTCCCGTAACATAGTATCCAAACCCTGAACAAACTATTCCCTGCAGTGAAACATCTCTGACTTTAAATAGGAAGTAGCCCTTGAAACAAGGAAAAAATAATAATAATAAGTTGAGAATTCTTACACTGTAAATAGCAACTAATAACATGGAATTGAAGTGTATGGACCAGGCTGCAGGGTTGTGCCACTCCAATGCTAAGGCGGCGAAAGAGCCTTCGATTGCGCCCATCAGGCATATCAAAGCTGTTAGAGAGATCTCAGCAGGGTATGCTTTCAGTGTAATGGCCTACAAGAGCAACCAATATATATATATATAGCTATTTCAATGATATTTTTCATGGCAAGGAAAAGCATTTTAGCTTCGCCCAAGGATTAGTCTAGCATGAAGCGGGTTGGTGTCTCATCAGATTTGAGAGCTACAGACAATGAACAAGCACTCGACACGCATGCGCATCTGATTTTGGATTATGACAAGTGTTTGGAAGTGGCGAAACCTCTTACTTGAAGTATGTAGAAACAAGAAGAGGACACACATCCCATTGTGATCATTAGAGCACCCTTGACAGAATTCCCATCATTTGAAGCTGCATGGTGGCTGCCTTTCGCTTTGGTCCACGGAAAACTCAACACGGGACCATTGACCAGAGTCATGACCATAGCTCCCCCAACAGTCACTATGGTTCCCAACACCTTTACTTGGCTATGAACTCTTCCAATATCAACCTTCTCAAGCCTACAACACCAACCAGATTGTTTAAAATGTGTTCACATAATATTGTGCTTCTGTGAGATTGACACATAATACTGTTACCTGAAAATCCAAGCCATTACAAATGTGAATGCAGGAACAATATTCCACAGGGCATTTGCAAAAGTTGCTGTGGTGAACTTCATCCCAGTGTAAAACAAGTTCTGACCAATGACAGGCCTGGTTTGATGAAGAAAAGACATAATAGCTTAACTCACATATATTCCCTAACAATCAAAGTAATTCATATACATATTTTCTAAGATGGAGTTTAGAGATTTGAACTCTAATAAGGCGAGGAATATGATCTTTACGAAGACAGAAGAGCTCATCATTGGCCTAGTTTTCCTGCCATGATATTGAGTAAGTAGGATTGAGTTGTTCCATTATTGACATGTAAAATTCATGAGATTTTTTTTTTTTTTTTTTAAATAACTTCCTAATGCATGAAGAGATGTTAGAGATAGAGAGACCTTTCCAACACAACGGCAAAAGGAGAAATAACAGCAAAGGCTATAGCATGGCGATATACTCCCAAGACATAGGGGCTAGTTCCTTTGTTTAGAGCAAACTTGGAAAGTATGGTCATTCCTGCATAGCAAAATTGCAATAAAATGATGGCAGCTAATGGTTTGAGACTTTGAGACAAGGATTTTATTGACATTTTTCTCTTTAACTATTGACTTCCTAATCTATTCCTCTACGTTTAGAGGCTAATGAACAAATATGGTGTTTCACACACTTATATATAGAAACTAGAAAGGTGGGAAGGACACAGTAAACCTTCCCCCCCAAAAGGAAAATAAGCAACAAAGAAAATAACCAAAGTGAATTGATAAGGTAAAACAAAGTTAAACAGACCAATAATTCATACGTGATAAACAAAACATCAAAGCTAAGCTCAAATCTAAACGAGTAATATGTTTAGTTTAAACCGGTTTACTGAAGTAGAACGACTTTGGTAGATTTCAAGATTTCCATGTCTTTTCCGAGTTGTAGAATAATTTGATTACAACTTTGCCTATTTTTTCCTGGCTGAAATATTTAACATGACTAGTGCTATTGGTAACTAAGAAAAGAAACATAATGACACCAACCTAATATACAGTAATAATAAGAGTTAATATCACAAATAATCCATGAGTTTTACCCTTAATTTTATTTTAGTTCCTAACTTTTAAAATGTTTTACATTTAACATCGAACTATGGATTTGTGTAAGTTTGTAGCCTTTATGTCAAGTCGATGTTAGAAAGAGGATGAAAAATTGTATATTTTGTATTCCTTCGATAAAGTGTACTTTTCCATCAGCATCACGTGTGTATTATGTCCTCTTTCAACTGAAATAACTCAAAAAGTAAAACTTAATTCTTTATCTATCTATTTTATTCTTTTCATACCAAATTAAAAAATATATTTTTTAAATAATTATTTAAAAATTAAAAATATTCAATAAATATACTATGTTAAATTTTACTCAAATAATTTTTGTATTTATCAAAATGTAAAAAGAAAAATAAGGACAATAAATAATAAATTCAACAATTTATATTTCAGAAATATTTTAAATAAAAAATTATAATAATATACTTTTTTAGTATTTTGGTGTAAAAATATTATGAATATTGATATTAAAAATAAAAGTGAAACTAACTATAAATATATGTGCTAAAGTATATCTATTTTAATCATTATACATATACATAATAAGTTTATATATAATTTATCAAACATATAAATTTCTACTTCTAGTATTCACAACTGTTTTGAGAAAAAATTTACTAAACACTTAAATGTTTCTAGTCAAGCAACTTTTAACTAATAGTGCAGTAACAGTAAAAATTTTTAATAGCACAGGAATGCGTACCGGCTCTATATTTGAGACATTTTAAAAATCAAGAATTAAAAATTAGGTTTGGAGATAAAGATCATTTGTAGGATTAACTGAATAACAATGAAAGATGATGATAACTATGAGAATAATAATTAAAAAGACTAGTAATGTATACAAAGCTTGTGATCGGCCTATATTAAGCTGTCAAGTACTCCTCAGGGGTTATGCCACTACGTGCTTCTTACATAGAAAGCACCACCACCAGGTGGGTGATGGAGACATATTATCTAAATAGTGCAAGAATTTTGTCAAAAAGTATCAAAAGAATTCTTCTTTTTTTTTTCTTTTTTCTTAGAGCAAGTTAATGATATTTTAGCGGGTTTTACGTATCACAAGTGTGATTAGTACTAAAGAATGAATACATTAATTAATCTAGTGCTTTTTCTTGACTAGCACGTTACAGAAAATGACAAGAATATTGTGATCTAATGGGTCTGTATAGCATATATGTTCCCTTAAGAAAAAAAAGGAGGATGCATATTCATTTCCACGTAGAGTTACTGTAGACCTACCTTTATCTGTGATGTGACAATAAGGAGCAATTAATAAAAACAAAAAAGGCTAAAATTTCAAGTTCCATTTTCTTTGCTACAATTTCAACCATTTGATAACCCGGATATTGCTAGTAATTACTAAAAGAAAGAAGGCCTCAGCCATAATTTTTTTTTCTCAAGCTAATTCATGATTTTTTATTATTATTATTATTATGCGTGTGTCTGTTAGGATTATATGTGAATTTATAAAGATTTTTTTTTTTATAATTAAGATGAATTATAAAGGATGTTGTGAACAGTTAGCAGAACATTTCAAGTAAAGCACCAGAATTAATTACTTTGCCAAAGTGGGATTCGAATTAATCGAGACTAATCCAATCAAATTGTATCCACAAACGAGCACAAAGTATTCATTTGATCAGCTATTAAGAAACCAATTCCTCAATGCGATTATATTATCCAGAATTTTTAGTGCAGCCATTTGATCTGTAAAGTTATGTTGATTTTGACATGTTTTTCTTATAATCTTTTTTGGTTACGTTTAGTAGTGCTTCTTGGAGCCCAAAATTACTTCTCTAATCATCATAAGTTGATAATAGTGTTTAGTAAAAACCATAAAAAATAATTTTTAAAGAATTTTTGAAGAATCTACTGTCAAAATCAGAAACAGCTTAAAAGCAACTTTGACTTTTAAATTATGCGGGAATCAATATAGTATAATTAATGATTATCAACAAAGTTATATTAAATAATTAATTATTAATTACTAATTATATTATATATTAATTAATATATAATTTTCTTAATAAAATAATAAATAATATAGTAATTATTTATTTAGTTAAAGATTAGTTACCAAAAATTAATTATATAACATATTGACAATAAAACAAGTAATAATAGGTTATTAAATAAATAATTAATAATTAATATATCAATCATATATTATGTTAATTGTAATCCATTAATTAGTAAATAGTTGATAAATAAAAAATAAATAGTAATTACTCAATTAATAATTAATATTAAATTATAATTATCAATATGTAATATATTAATCCATAATAATTAATAATTGATAATTAGTAATTAATATTATCAAAAGAATAATTAGCAAAATTTGATCATGTAATATATCAAATAATAGATTATTAAATAAACATTAGTAATTAATTAACTAATTATTTAATTATGTAACTAAAAGTTAATAAATATGAGTACATTACTAACATAGTAATTACTTATAATTAATTACTAATTACTATTTTAATTATTTAGCATATTCATTTATTATATATTTATTAATGATAATTTATCCATTATTGTTATATTATTAATATATTAATTTTTATTTGTTAAAGAATTATCAAATATTAATTACTTTATATATTAATTTAAGATTGTTAATTACGGTCATCTTACTTATCCACGACAATTTAACTTCACAATTTATCAAACGCTATTACACTACTTTTAAAATCAACAACACTTATATAATTACAGTTTACTAAAGACTTGACTACTTTTTATAACAATTATTTTTTCTTTCAGCACAATTAAAAATAATTTTTTTAAAAATTTACAGTACTACCAGGTCGTAAATATCTGAAAGTAAAGCTTCACTTGTCACCTCAAGCATAAAGACAGGGACATGTTTAATTTTCCGGTTACGTTTCAGTTTGGGCTTCAAAATTTATGCATTCCAGTTATTCTTTTCTTTCTTTTTTTTTTTTCTCTTTTAAATGCCACTTTGATTTTATACACTACTATAATTTTGTCCTATTATATTCTACTTGATGTCACTGTTTCTTCTTTTTTCTTCTTAAACTGGGTTTTGCCACTCCTTTCTCTGACGTTTGGTATTCTTTTTTTGTTTTTTTCATTTTGTTTTTTATTTTTCGGATGTAGACAGGCTCTTTAAGTCTCTTAATTTATATATATTCAATTACTGCCTAATAAAGTATGCAATATTTAATGTTGTGAATTTTTTGAATAGAAAATGTCTTAATGTGTGCCTCCACTGAATTCAATTTTTAGATCCGTCACTGCATAAAGATCCTACATTATATGCATCCAGTTAGTGGCTCTAATAGAAAGTTTGGTATTGTCCACTGAATGTAATTTCTGGATCTGACGGATCCTACATTATATGCATACAATTAGTGGCTCTAATAGAAAGTTTGGTATGACTTGCTTTCCCGGCCTCTTGTTTAACATTTTTTCTAGTACACACAAATATCAAATTGCCGTCCGTCTCATACTTCACCAATGCACTTCATCGTTGCACGTATTTTTCCTTCAGGAAAACGTCTTTTCTTGATGCACGTAACTATTTGCCTCTGCCTTGTTCCCTTAACTAATAATATTGGAAGTAAATTCAATTTTTGAATCAACAAGAGCCGTTGCTATATATGCCATTACACCTTAATACCTAATATACGAGAGATAGTATAAAGGAAAAAAAAAAAAAACAATAAATAGAGCATACACAAATTTATAATGGTTTATCTTCAATATGACAACAACGCCTATTTTATCAGACTTTCACTACTTCAGAAAAAAGAGTATAAGATGATTTGTTATATACCTTAAAGTTGTTTCACAAGATGCCCCACTTCTATTTTAGTCTCCGCTAAAAGTGGATTTATAGTACACATAATTAGGCTGAAGAGTGGTTATTGGTGGATAAAATTAGAATAGAGTATAATTATGGCATTTTTAGTTCGCTGATTCAAGTTGAGAAGTGACTTTATATGAGAGCTTTTTATTATAGCAAAAAAGTTAGATGTAACTGTTTTTGAGAGCTTTTTACTATAATAAAACTCGAATCGGTAAAATGAACGGGACATTAGACTCCAGACAACACAATCAAAAAGAGCATGTCGTTTTAGTTCTCCCATTCAACCAATTTATTCATCTCATGCAAGGCTTATCATGTTGCTTAGTCTATTGTCAGTTGAGTATCGATTAGTTATTATTTTATTGATAATTGATTTTGTTACAATTAATTTTCAATGATTATAATAGTTTATTTAAGACTGCAGGGTTTATCATTCTCCTATTTCTACTAAAACTGATTATTTTGATTAAAATAGCCTATTTAAAAAATGTTTCCAATTTTATTTGACAATTATTTTAATAAAATTTTAATTCAATGATTATGGTCTCCTTCAATTCTCCGATTCGAGTTTAGATGTGATTTTTTGTGAGAGTTTTTACTGTGGCAAAAAAAGTTTGATATATTTTTTTGTGAGAGTTTTTTACTGTAATAAACTGGAATTGAAATCTCGAATCGGAGAACTGAAC